GTCTCGGACTCCCTTAGTGCTTTACAGGCTATACAGAAATTTGATACACCTCACCCCTTAGTCCTCCGTATCCAACTTTGGCTACGCCGCATCTTTACCAAGCATAAAGATATTGTTTTTTGTTGAGTCCCTGGTCATGTTGACGTACAGGGCAATGAACAGGCAGACACTGCTGCGCGGTCAGCAGTACATGACCTACCAGTTTCATATAGAGTATTCCATTTACGGACTATTTTGCTGCAATATCTTCCCACCTTCACACCCGTTGGCAACACCGTTGGTCTACTATGCTCGGCAACAAACTTCAATCTATTAAACCAAGTATAGGTTACTGGCCGTCTTCTTATCACCAGTGTCGAGGTTGGGAGACTACTCTCTCCCGTCTTCGCATTGGCCATACTCGTCTTACTCATGGATATCTCATGGAGAGGCGCCCTGCTCCTCTCTGTGAGAATTGCCAAGCTCCATTATCAGTCAGCCACATTATGTTGGACTGCCCACTTTATCAATGAGCATGCAGAATTTACCTCCGTCGTCATCTTCGCTCCGCTGCTCTCTCTTTACTTTCCCTTCTCGCTGATGGACCCACCTTTCATCCGGACTCTCTCATTGACTTTTTGACAACAACTGACTGACTTCACAAATTCTGATACCTTCAGCCCTTTCTACTTCAATCTCTTGCTACCCTCTAGCCCCGTACTATCCCCTGCCCCGCTGTTTTCTGTAACCTACTGATCATCCCTCCTCCCTTCTGCCATCCAATACCCTCGCTTCCTTCCCTACCCTGCAGCGCTGTATAGCCCTTGTGGCTTAGCGCTTCTTTTTGATTATAATAATAATATGGAGGAGAATTCTGTTCCACTTCCCCATGGAGGTAAGAGGAGATAAACAAGAACAAGAACTAGAAAGAAAATAGAAGAAAACCCAGTGGGGTGTGTATATATATGCTTGTACATGCATGTGTGGTGACCTAAGTGTAAGTAGGAGTAGCAAGACGTACCTGTAATCTTGCATATTTATGAGGCAGACAAAAGACACCAGCAATCCTACCATCATGTAAAACAATTACAGGCTTTCGTTTTACACTCACTTGGCAGGACTGTAGTACCTCCCTGGGCAGTTGCTGTCTACCAACCTACTACCTGCAACAGATAGATGTAACAGTGAATATTATTACATTTGTGTGTACAGTATATTTAAGGTGGAATATAGTTAGCAAGTGTAGTTTATACCTTGATGCTGCACCAATGTAATAGAAATTTTTTGTCTGGTAGGCCTTCAGTATATGAGAATTTCAACCTTTCAAAAGTACTGTCCTCGAATATATCGACTCCAAATTATCATTTTTTTTTTTTAAATATGGTTTTAGTATCTGGAAGTATACACTGGGTATATACAGTAATAAGTCAAACCGTTATATGAGGCACTGCAGTAAAGACAAACTTCACACATCTGAACTTGTATAAAACAGACTTTAACACTGAATGGCCCAACTGCAGACCAACGGGCCACATCTGGTTCACTAGTAAATTTTTTTGTGGCCTACAAATGCTCATAGCACTGTGGTAGTTTATAGAAATTTAAGGTCTCCTGTTCATCTTTATTTTTATTTAGAGAGAATGAAAAGGCACAATACCATGGGTAGAACAATGTAGAAATAACAAACTTAATTTTTATTTATTTATTAACATTGGCCTATTCCCACCAAGGCAGGGTGGCCCAAAAAAGAAAAACTTTCATCATTCACTCCAGCACTGTCTTGCCAGAGGGGTGCTTTACACTACAGTTATAAAACTGCAACATTAACACCCCTCCTTCAGAGTGTAGACACTGTACTTCCCATCTCCAGGACTCAAGTCTGGCCTGCCAGTTTCCCTGAATCCCTTCATAAATGTTACTTTGCTCACACTCCAACAGCATGTCAAGTATTAAAAAGCACTTGTCTCCATTCTCTCCTATCAAATACTCTCATGCACAGCTTGCTGGAAGTCCAAGCCCCTCGCACACAAAACCTCCTTTACCCCTTCCCTCCATCCCTTCCTAGGCCAACCCCTACCCCGCCTTCCTTCCACTACAGATTTATACACACTCGAAGTCATTCTGTTTTGTTCCATCACAAATTTGTCTATCACAAGTTTGTTATGATGTTTCAGTTTGACTTGACCATTAACAAGACACACATGAATGCTTCTGTCTTACTAGTTAATGGTCCAAGTACAACCAAAATGTTGTCATAATTTTGTCTTCTATGTGAAGGTTATTTGTTTATTATCTTTATCTCTCTATATCCATTCTGTTTACTTGTCAGTTTTTCATGTGTCCTTCATGGAACTTGGAGGAATAAATTTGTGTATTTACCTTGTTCCCATCCTTTAAATAAAAGAAAGGCACAATACCATGACTGGAACAATACACAAATAACTCGCACATAAAAGAGAAGAGCTTAAGACAACGTTTCAGTCCACTTGGACGATTTACAAAGTCACACTAATGAAAAGAAGAGAGGGAGGGGTATATATAGGCAGGAGGTAGCAGTAGTGGAGGTAGAAGGTAGTAGTAGTAGTGGGGAGTAGAAAGGAGGAGGAGCCAGTCAAATACTTAGAAAGAGGAGCACTGCAAGGGAGCTAGGTGCCCACTGAAGGTAAGAGCAAGAACACCCATGACTTAACCTGATTCCTCCTTTTTCTTCTTCTCCCTCTTCCCCTTTCCTCTTTCCTTTTTCTCCTTTGGTTGTCTTTCTTCTGCCTTGTGTATTTCTTCCTCCTCCATTTATTTATTTTTCCCTCCCTTTGTGGGCACCTAGCTCCCTTGCAATACTCCTCTTAGTACATATTTGACTGGCTCTTCCTCCTCCTCTCTACCTCCCCCACTACTACTACTACCTTCTACCTCCACTACTACTAATACCACCTCCCTATATATACTCCTCCCTCTCTCCTTTTCATTAGTGTGACTTTGTAAATGGTCCAAGCTGTACCGAAACGTCATCATAAGCTCCTCTCTTCGTTTACCTGGAGAGAGTTCCGGGGGTCAACGCCCCCGCGGCCCGGTCTGTGACCAGGCCTCCTTAGGTCAGTGTCCCAGGATGCGACCCACACCAGTCGACTAACACCCAGGTACCCATTTTACTGATGGGGAACATAGACAACAGGTGGAAAGAAACACGTCCAATGTTTCTACTCTGGCTGGGAATCGAACCCAGGCCCTCGCCGTGTGAAGCGAGAGCGTTAACCACCAGGCCACCAGAGCCCATTCTATGTGCGGGTTATTTGTATTTCCCATCCTTTACCCAGTCAATGTAGTTATTAAACTCTTCATTACTATAAGACAGCTTATGATGTTGATACACTGCTCTATTACAGTTTTTTATATTAATTGACCCCCCTCCCTTCCCTCAAGAGAGGCTCCTTGAAGCAGGTGAGGGGCTCTTGATCCATGGAATTGAGCCTGTCTTTTCCTTTGAATCTAAAGGTCTACCAGTTCCCCAGGTACTGTGACCCCTATGGGTTTAGTGCCAAAGTTTCCAGGTTTCATAATATAAGAATCTTTACATACTATTATTTTCACACTGCTAGTCTTGTATGCCCTGTGTTCTTAACCCTTGGAGGGTTGGTCACATACAGTTGCCTCATTGCAGCCAGGGTCGGTCACGTACTTGTACGCCTAAATTCTAGCGCCTTCAAATCTGGTGGAAGAAAGCTGGCAGGCCTACATATGAAAGAATGGGTCTGTGTGGTCAGTGTGCACTGTATAAAAAAAATTCTGAAGCACACTGTGCATAATGAGAAAAAACTCCGACCATGTTTTTGGTTTAAAACAGCGAATTTCTAGTGTATTTTCGTATGGTATTTTTTGTTTTATTTTCGTTTCCATGGTCTCGTTTGATAGAATGGAAGATATATTACAGAAATAGAGATGATTTTGATTGGTTTCACGATGACAAGTACCTTAAAATTGAGCTCAAAGTAGCAAAAATGATCGATTTTTGCCGACTTTCCAGAGTAAACCAATCAAGCCATGTGTCCAATACACGTCAACTGGTGAGTCTAATATTCTTTCACAAGTGCGTTGACACCATTTATACCATTTTTTTTCAATGATTCAGTAGTATACATAACAGACAACCTATTTTCTCTGAGAATAAAAATTCAAAATGGAAAGCAAGAGTAATGTAAGAGGGGCCTAGAGACGTGACTGATGAACAGGTAAAATGTTATTTTAGTGCCATGAATGTCTGTCTTGTTTATTCTGGACCCTATTTCGAAACTGGCATCTTCTGAAATGTGTGAAATTGCCCAGATTGCCAATTTCTGACCACTTTATTGGGTAGTTGAAATCAGTAAATGGGTGGATTCTTGTACTCAATCAATAGAACAAATGGAGTTCCAGGGAAATAGCTATGATTTTAGTCAACTGCCACATTGGAATTGGTCGAAAATAGGGCTCAAAGTGGGCAAAATCACCGATGCGTAAATATCTTCGAGACTGCTAACTTTGCGAGAGCATAATTCCATAAGTTTTCCATCAAATTTCATACTTTTGGTGTCATTACGATCAGAAAAAGATTCTCTATCATTTCATAAGATTTTTTTTTTTTTACCCTGAGAACGAGTTTGGAAGAGGGCCTCTCAACCCCCAAAGGGTTAAAAGGTAAAATCATCACATGTGGCCCAGCATGTTGAAGATGTTGGACTATTCTGCCTTAAAACACTGTCAGTCCACATAAAACTAATTTAAAAATATATATCAAATGTTTTAAATTTTTTATTTAATTTGTATTAATTTCTGCATGCATAAATACTACAGGCTTTTTATTTACTTATTCCATAGTTTGTTGTGTTGGTCCTTACTATCCACAGTGCATCTTATACTCTTAAGATTTGTATGTTTTAATGGTTTAACATATTTGATTATTAATAAGCAAAAATTGTAATATGCATACATGTACTTTGTTGCATCTGTTGAATTTTTTCCAAAATTTAAAGATTTTCTTTTGTCAGGTTTGTAATTGTGAAGCATGTTCGTCGTGATCTGATAAGTGAGCTCCCACTACCTCAGCGACTGAAAGATTACCTTTGCTCTCCACATTACTATTCAGAAAGAGTTGAGCAATGTATGGCAGCAGCAGCTGCTGCTGCTTCTGATAATGAGGACAGTGCTTCCTCTGGAGCAGCAGGTGAAGGGAATGATGTTCCTAGTCAGGTGCTTCATCCTTCGCTAGGAGAGTTAGAGAATAACCTTCCCAGTGCACCAGTCCTCCTGCCAGGCTTTCCCGGTGTACCTCAGCCTGTGATGGATCGTGCCTCCCAGACCTCCCAGGCCACTTCTCCCAACCCACCATTGTCCAGCCAGGATCTCCCACACCTCCAACTTCTCAACAATATTCATAACTCCAGTCTTCAAGAAACTACTTCAGACCATGTGACAAACAGTGTATTACAGACCTTACAAGATCCAGATCACCACATCAGCAGTGTAGCACAGCCTTTCCCAGAGCCCAACCACCACACAATGATCCCCTTAGCCTGTGTTGATAACGACTCCATAACAGCTACTAATCACTTCCCTACTTGTTGCTCACCTGCACATGTGGAGCGTGATACTTACCCTGCATGCTCACAGGTGACCCAAACTAGCCAGGCTCATACTGCCAGTGCCTCACCTGCCTTACAGGGTAACCTTGCCTTTGCTCACCAACATAGTGGGCCACTCTCACTCAATTCCTCAACGAGTGATGTGCAGGACGATAAGAGTTTCCCCATTGATAGATCACTAACGTTCAATGACAGTGGTCACAGTGATGCAGGTAGAATAATTGCAAATGCAACAGTCTCTAGAGAATTTTTACTGATAAACCCTTGCAGGGGTCTTGATGATCATGTGTTTGAAGATTTAGGAGGTGTATGAAATCATTCTGTCCTGCTGAATAGCTTCTAATTTTGGAGTGCTGTGAATCTAGTTTAAGGGTAGCTCTTTTAGCTGCCATGTTCCTCTCACTTTTGTGTTTTGTATATTTGCTGAATGTGAAAAGTTGTAGAACTGAATTTATTTACTAATATATATATTTATTATTGGTCGTTAGAATTTATTTTGATTTATATTGTTTACGTAACCAAAGACATATAAGAATTTTGTCTAAAGTTAGTAAAATTCAGGTAACTGATGCAGAAATGCACATGCTGTGAAATCTCTTGCATATTATTTATGAGAACATGGTTGTTGACCAAGCAAAAAATATGAGGCCTCATTGAAAAGTCCTGAGAGACTAAACATGTAATATATGAACACATGGTTGCAAAAGTACAAGGCATAATGTGAAAAATTGGTGATATCCTGGGACTCGGTGCCTTCACTGGCTATCATCATATTCTTTCTAGTGCTGCTTGTTATGTTACAGTACTGAAGGAAAGTGCAGATCCTGTCATGTGTTGTACATTTCAAAGTGAAAACCTGGCTTACAAGGAATTTCCTTCATAAAGGTAAGTCAGTCAACCAAGGCATCATCTCTACTGCTGCTTTCAGGCATCACCAAGCAGTCATATATAAATAAATATTAACCAACTTGCAAAACGAAGAAAATGTACCCTCACTATAGGCTTGACTGCACTCTCCTGCCTAGAACACAGAGGAGAGAGATGCTGCAGTACTCTCTGATGGGTCGAGTCCCAAGACATGATGCTGCACTTGTGCAACTTACAGTATTCATACAACAAAATCAGTCTCAAAGCTTATTCATCACACCTCATATTTCAGGGTTTCTTTCTAAGCTTAGGTATTTGTCCCTTTCCATTTTTATTTCAAATTTAGTTGTCACTGCCCTCTCCCACTATCTGCAAGATGTCCAACCAACAGCACTGTTGCATTTGGACAGAATACTATTCAGTTTTATTTGGAAAAAATATTAATTTTTAATTATCTCTGAAATAATGGTAAATGTCATTTTCTATATTTTTTCCATTTACTGTGTCACTGATGGAAAAATAATTAAATAATTTGTCTCATGCTTTTTTTATATACCAGTATTGTTCAGAAGTATTTGTTTATATCTGGAGAATTTGAGCTTATATTGACCAGTTAACTCTTACTATACATTACCTTCTAAACATGATAAATAATACACCATGGTTCCTCCTACTTACATCTTTCTATCCTTGTATAATCAGGCCATTTTTGATCAGTTGAATTGCCTTTCACAGTGAACCATATTGTTAGATATGAATTAACAAATATATATGAATATTTTAGGACAAACATTTTTTATAAACTAATGCAGTGGCATCGGTGTAAGTTGAAGAATCAAGTTTGTCAGGCCGCCAAGGGTGGAACTTGCCAGCTTAAGTATTTGAATTTTATACTCTTCACTGACATTTCAATTACAGTATTTGTTTAAAGCTCAACTGTAATTTAGCAAAATTTGAGTCGCTCATCTTTGCATCATTGCTGAATGTAAAAAATATGCTTTATAAATTATTGCTCAAAATTTCAGATTTTCTTAATCACTTTGGCAAAGTAACTTTGAAGTTAAATTTACTCATTAGTTTTAGTAATTGCTCTTATAGTTAATGAAAGTCCTATGAAATAATTTAAAATCTCGGATTGGAGGAAGGTCATTCAAGCAACAAGGTCTTAAAAACTGATATCAAATCTGCACCTTATGTAAGACTTAATGTTAACCTTTTAGTAATCAGCTGTGTACCAGATTACTTTAACAGTGCACAGTTATACTTTCATATCTTTTTTTCAAATTATTTATAAACATTCTTTCAAAAGCACTTTGATAATTACGTCAACATTACAACTGGTATTTTAGAGCATTAAGTTATGTGGGTGCTGGGTTATATAATTTGGCAACTCATGAACCTTTATTAGACAATGAATGTATGATGCTCAGATATGTAAGCCTCACTTTGGAGGTTCTGAAGCATTTTTGGCCTGGCATTCATAGGGAAAAGCAATTTGCTCAGGTTCCCCAATGATTCATCCTTCCTTAATAGCAACTTGGAGAACAATTCTGTAACATTATTTTTGGATATGTATTCTAATATCAATGTATTGAGTATCAGCAATACTTGTATATGAAGGAAGTGTTTGGTTTTTGTGATTCAAGAAATTGTTGATGCACAAACAATTCAGCTTTGTAATTCGTACTCTAGTCTGAAATTATTTAGTGATTTCCATGAAGTCATTTTGTTGGATATAGAATTTTGCTGTTTGAGATTGTAACATTCCACCAGACTGTGTTTCAGATTTGTGATCCAAGACATCTAGACATCCAGACCATACATCTGCCTCTTCCACTCCATAATAAAAGTACAGTAGGTCTATATCCCTCGTTGTTACGGTATATTTTACCATATGCCTAAATGTCTAGGGGAACAGTTTGGAAGGCACTTCTTGACAAACAGCACTGTGATAGTTAAATGTCAGCTCAGAGAGTAATGAGGAATTATACTGGTAGCTTAATACAAGTGTTGTGCTGTTCTTCAAGAAGAGACTTGAAAATTCAACCCTCAACGTGTAAACATTGTGATACTGGATTTCTCAACACTTCTCAGCACCAGATATTGCCTAAGCGACATAATGGTGAAACAAAGGGGTCGGGTCGGGGCTTGGAAGTACACATTGGGGGTCACTATTTATAGACCACCTTGCAAGATTATATGTATTGATACATGACAAGACTTTTTGTAATCTGAGTTTAAAAAAAATAGCAACAAATTAAAATGATTTGGCACTGGTTTACAGCAAATTACAATCATTGTATACGAGGCAACTTCACGGTCTTTTAAAAAGACCTTTCTTAAAATAGCACCACAAGTGCTTTAAACCTATATATGATCAGTGTTTCATATTTGAAACACATAATTTAGATTTTGATGCTACATCAGTAGTGTGAACTACTGTGTATGTGTGTTTGTGTGTATGTATGTATGTATGTATGTATATTTTTTTTTTTTAGCTTGACAACCATCTCTTGCCAAGGCAGGGTGACCCAAAGCAGAAAATACAGTCAACATCATTCATATAATCACCATTTTTCCAGGCATGTTCTGCTATCACAGTCAGATTACCCTCAGACTGCAATGTTCCCACCTACACTTTGGAGTGTAGGCACTGCCATTCCCAACTCCATGACTCATGTCTGGCTAACCGGTTTACCTGAATCCTTTAATCCCTTCATAAAAGTTACCCTGCTCACACTCCAACACCACATCCATTAAGAGCCACTTGCGTGGCTCTTAATGGATGCTGATGCTGGATGCTCAAGCCTCTAAACCTCCAAGACTCTTGTACCCCCTCCCTCTCTCCAAGCATTCCTGGGATGATGCCTACCACTCTTAACTTCCACCACAGATTTATTCACCCTCTTCATCAGCCTATCCCTCTCCATCTTCTCTTCATGCCCAAACCACCTCATCAACCCCTCTTCAGGCCTCTGAATTATATACTCTTGGTCACCCAATATCAACTTTTAATTTTCTGTCCTCCAAATTCGCTGCATGATAACACCACCCCATATTGCTCTAACATGACATCTCCATTACCTCTAGCTGCCACCTCGCTGCAGCGTTCAAAACCCATGCCTCACACCCATTTAAGTGTTGGTACCTCTCTACTCTGGTCCATTACTTTTTTTTTTTCTCCATAAACTACTTTCCATAGATACTTCAACACACCACCCACCTTTTTTTACCTCTACTTTTCTGTTGTTCACCTCATCTTTCATAGACCCATCTGTGACACAAATGGGTGTAGTCAACAGTTTCAGCAAAGTTTTCCAGAAGTGTCTCAACAACGGTGATCATATCAGGATGCAGAGTGGTAACGAATCTTGTGTGAGAGCTCAGTGACATTGGTAATAAAGCCTTTAACCCTTTCAGGGTCCAGAGGCCAAATTTCAAAGTGTGCACCAGGGTCCAAGAATTTAAAAAAAAAAATTATTTTTTCTTTTGAAATAGTAGAGAATCTTTTTCTGAAGGTAATAAAACAAAAAGTACGAAATTTGATTGAAAATTGACAAAATTATGCTCTCGCGAATTTTGATGCGTCAGTGATATTTACGAATCGGCGATTTTGCCAACTTTGACTCCCATTTTAAGCCAATTACATTCCAGTCGACCAAATTCTTAGGTATTTTACTAGTATTACTTCTATCGATTGAGCACAAGAAATCGCCCAGTCAACTGTTTCAACTACAAAATAAAGCGATCGGAAATTGGTAATTTGGCCAATTTAACACAAAGTTCAAAATATTCCAGTTTCAAAATGGGGTCTAGAATAAACAATTCAGGCATTCCTGGTACTAGACTAACATTTTCTCTGTTCATTAGTTACATTTTCAGTCTTTACAAATGAATTCCATTTTGATTTTTTATTCACATAATGAATTTTTATTCAAACCAAAAAATAGAAGATTTACTGTTATGCAATATTGTAATAATTGTATAAATATCATCAACACATTTGTGAATGTATATTAGACCCACCAGCTGGCGTGTATTAGACGCGTGAGGTCGTTTGTTTACTCTTGAACATCGACAAAAATTTAACATTTCTGCTACTTTGAGCTCAGTTTCAAGCCATTTCCATTACTAAAACCAATCAAAATCATCTTTATTTCTGTAATATATCTTCCATACTATCAAATGAGACCAAGAAATCGCAAATACAACTATAAAAAACACGAAAAAACATTGCAAAGTCACTGTTTTAATCGAAAATCACGGTCTGTTTTTTTCCTCTCATTATGCACTGTGTGCTGCAGGATTTGTTTTATGTGGTACACACATACCACATAGATGTATTCCATCATATCTAGGGCCAAATTTACCACTCACAGCTTATCAGAGTGAGCTGAGCTCATGGCGTAGATCTACGGTTTGGACCCTGAACGTAAAGCCGTAGATCTAAGCATGGACCGTGAAAGGGTTAATGTTGGCAGACAAGATGCTGATAGTCTGGCTCCTCATGTTTATGTTCAACTTGAATAGACAGGTATGTGAGGTGCTTGCCCTTGAGACAGGTAGGTCACTGGGGCAGACACTGTCTATCTCTTTCATCTTCACTCTTGCACTCTCCCTCACACTCACTCTTCCCCTCACTCTCTACACACATACAGGTACACCGATGATTTTCCGGCACCTTTCGTTCCAAAGCCTTGCTAAAAAATTTTATTTTGCTGGTCCAAGAGAGGTCTTGTAATTATAATTCAGCCCCACACACCTGACCCAGTATTTATACATCTTCCTTAACCCAGTGCATTCATACTGTATGATCATTCATACTGTGTATGGTCATACTGTATGATCATACTGTGTATGGTCATACTGTATGATCATACTGTGTATGGTCATACTGTATGATCATTCATACTGTGTATGGTCATACTGTATGATCATTCATACTGTGTATGGTCATACTGTATGATCATTCAATACTGTTAGTGGTCATACTGTATGATCATTCATACTGTGTATGGTCATACTGTAGATCATTCATACTGTGTATGGTCCATACTGTATGATCATTCATACTGTGTGTGTCATACTGAATGATCATCTCATACTGTGTGTGGTCATACTGTATATCATTCATACTGTGTATGGTCATACTGTATGATCATCATACTGTGTATGGTCATACTGTATGATCATTCATACTGTGTATGGTCATACTGTATGATCAATTCGTACTGTGATGGTCATACTGTATGAATCATTCGTACTGTGTATGGTCATACTGTATGATCATTCGTACTGTGTATGGTCATACTGTATGATCTTTCGTACTGTGTATAGTCATACTGTATGATCTTTCGTACTGTGTATGGTCATACTGTATGATCATTCATACTGTGTATGGTCATACTGTATGATCATTCATACTGTGTATGGTCATACTGTATGATCATTCATACTGTGTATGGTCATACTGTATGATCATTCATACTGTGTATGGTCATACTGTATGATCATTCATACTGTGTATGGTCATACTGTAT